TTTTAGAATATTTTTAAAAATAATATTAAAATAATATTAAAAAATAATATTAAAATAATATTAAAAATATTTTAAAATGGAAAATTAACCAAAAAATGGCCCAAATGTGGACCAAACACAGGCAAGAGACAGCAAATGAAGCAAGCAGCACTCACAGCAGCAAGGAATGAATCCAATCCGAGTTGCTAGCAGCCATTGCCAAGCCAACCCAATGCAAACTCCCTCGCCCTCTTGAAGCTACGGGCCACGCGGAGCCGCTTTGAAAGGGCTCGCCGGCCAATCAAAAACAGGCAGCCACGGACCCATGGTGGTGCACTGTTTGGGAGCGCCGGATTGGCTCCCATGCACCAGCACTCCAGCAGCCTCCACCCCATTAACGAAACGAGCGGAGGCTCGTTAAAACTCTGGGGGCTGCTGGTTCGATATTTAAAAACCCTTCCGGGTTTGGAAATATGTTTCAATATCGCTTCGGAAATGGTAAAAATAACGAATTAATAACGAATTAACGAATTAACGAACGAAACCGCACAGGCCTAGTGTCTGGCCCTTTTCACCCTTTTGAGTGTGGTGGGAGCCACACATCTATTGCTGAAGCAAAGATATGCTGGAGCAAGGGTCTGGCTGTTCTTCTCTCCCTCAAAAGACAGAACAATGTAGAATTTGGAGCATGGAGGAAATCATGTTGGGGGTGCAGGTCAGGTTTTATGGCACACATGACACACTTTTTTTTTGCATGCACAGGGTGAGGCTGCTCTATCAACAAATAAATCATACACTACAGTGATATATTATATACAACAAAGGACACAGCCTTATAGATTACATCTATGAATAGGGTTTGCCCAAACACATGGGCCTCCTACCCGGCAGTCCCCGTACAGAATCTCTGCTTGATTTATGGGCTTGAATTTCTATATTATTAATAATAATATAATAATAACTTTATTTTTGTACCTTGCCTTCAACTCCCTGAAGGGATTTGCGATGGCTTACATATGGCACAATGTGCCTAAGACAATGCATAAAATAAACACACAACACAATATAAGATAAAAACAATTTTTATTTATTTATTTATTTGCCATATTTGTACCCCGCCCTTCTCTATCCCGACAGGGGAACTCAAGGCAGGTTACAATGGCACAACAACATGCCTTAACACAATCACCTAAACATTTCAAAAATTGCAACATATTAAACTTAGAAAACACGCCATCTAAGTTCATGGTATGAGTCTGTTCCAAGGTCAATTGCACAAGGTTTTGATTCAAATATACTGATTGCCTTAGTTTCCAAAGGCCTGCTCACCAAGAGCAGGTCCTCCCCAGATGATCTTTATCTACTAGGTTTGGGTAACAACGGAAAAATTTGTTTCTAAACTCGTTTCGTTTTTAGGAGGTCCATTGCGTTTCGTTTTTTTAAAGAATTCCGATTTTTTTCTTTTAAAAATTTTGAAATTTACGAAATTTCGTAAATTTTGAATTGATTCGTTAATGGCGGACGCGATTGCGCAATATGCTAAAAAAACTCCAAATGGGACAGGGGGAACTTCTGAAGCTTCCCTCTCCCTCTGTTGTTGACTGTTGGTGTGATAAAACAAACAACAACTATATTTGTTGTTGTTGTTCATATAATATATTATACATATTATATTATATTATATTATTATAATATATTATACATATTATATTATATCATATATTATTATATAATATTATTATAATATTATTATATTATAGTATATTATTATATATTATTATACGAAAATAATTACGAAATAATTACGAAAATTGGAAAAATTGTTTCGATTCTTAATTACTCCTCACACTATTCCTGCATGGCTCAATATCGGATTGTAAGCTAATTTAAATACGAATTAATAACGAATTACGAAATTAACGAACGAAACCGCCCAAGCCTATTATCTACATGTTGGTTCATAGGGGACAATACGTTCGGACAGGTAGCCTGGGCCAGAACTGTTTAACGCTTTATAGGCTAAAGCTAGCACTTAGTCTGTAAACAATAGCATATAAAACAATAATTTAAGCTCAAAACAGCACCCAACAACCTATGGTGAGAACTGTTGCAAAACATGGCCAACTGTAAACAGGAACAAGGAAATAGGATAGTGCAAGCTGTAGCTAATAAACTAGGGCATGGGATGAAAGTGCAGTGCTGTGGCATTAATTGCAGGCCATTGAGGCTAGACATCGAAACATCCAAGTCTTCAGTTCCTTCTGGAAAGAGGACATTATAGGGGCCTAATCTCCTTGGGGAGGGTGTTCCAGAGCCTGGGGGCCACCACAGAGAAAGCCCTCTCCCTCGTCCCCACCAACCATGTTTCTGATAGTGGTGGGACTGCGAGGAGGGCTTCCCTGGCTGTAATAAGAAATTCAATGTGCAAATTTGATAAATGTGAATTTAATAATTATGTGTGGGAATAAATGGAAGAATGGAAGGATGTATGAATGGAGCTAATAATTTTGGAAACACCAGTATAATATTAAGGCCTGCAATGACTAATACCTGCTTGCTGGACTTGCTAATGAGAAACTCTGATAAGAACGGGACAGTGATAAAGGAAATGTTTACAACATTCCTTATGTTAAGAAGGAAGTCAACAAAAGCCTTGTGTTTGTTAACACCAATCAAGAAGATCAACATCTGGCCAGGAAACTGAGGATGGAAGGATGGAAGACGTCTATCATTAATTTACAACTTTGGGACTACATCAACAGAATATTCCTATAAAAGACTCAGTCTAATAATGCTCAAATTGTGACTGACCTGAGGAGTCTGGTTCACCCGCTATGCTCTGCTCCATGGGAAAGAGAGAGAGATAGTGTAGAGAGAGAAAAGTGGTAGATTTGCAAGGGTGCGGTCTGGTCACTTTAGAGGTTCTTTCTCAAGGGAAGAGGAAGAAGTGCGCTTTTGGAGTCTTAGATTTTGTGCAGGGAGTCAGGTTCTGCTGTATGGGAAACAGAGATCTGGTCCTTGGCATTCTTCTTAGGAAAAGAAGTTTTGGCATTTCAGCGTTTTGAAGTTTTGGCGTTATGGAAGTTATGGAACTATGCATTGGCAGCCTGCAGGAAAGCAGGGTCTGGCCTTACAGGTGCTTCTCCAAGGAGGGAGAAAGGATATGGTAATATTTGGATGCATGTGGATGAATGCGTGTACATGTGGTGTGAATGTTGAGTGAAAATGTAATCCCCTTTGTTTGTTTGTTAACCAATGTAATTGTAAATCCAATGTAGTTGCATAGAATCTGTATGTTTGTATGTCCAATGTCATTCTTTGTCTAAATGTTTTCTGTAATCTGATATACCTTCTCACACTGGAAATTGCAATAAAAAGAACCTTTGCTTCAAAGTTATTGAAAAGTCATTCATGACATGGCAGATCTTAACACTTGTGCAGGAACATGGGGAGGGTGGAGGGTGCGATCACGAAGATAGACAGGGTCCAAACCATTTAGGGCTTTGTAGGTGATGACCTGCCCTTTGAATTGGGACCGGAAACTTATTGGTGCTGTTTTTATAGGGGTGTTGTCTGCTCCCTATAATTAGCTCCAGCTAGCAACCTGGCTGCCGATCTTTGCACCAGTTGCAGTTTCCGGGCCGTATTCAAAGGCAGGCCCTCGTAGAGTGCATTGCAGTAATCCAACCTGAATGTAACTAAGGTGTGAACCACCGTGGCCAAGACATATTCTGCTTGTCTGAATTAATCAGACTCTTCATCTTGGCTTGTGTTCATCATTATGCCAGCTGTGTGCTACAGTTCTATGTTGTTAGTCAGACCTTGAAAGACACGAGACTTTAGCTTTGTTTATAATTAAACATGGCATTGGCTTATCTTGTGTGTGTTTTGATATCAGGAGAGCCCTGAAATATTGCAGGGCAGTTGCTTTATATGCACGCCTGACAGTTGCATATAAAGTCTTTCACCTGATCTGAGTGAAGCTTGCCGTAGTCACTGAAGTCAGTCCTGTCAGTTGGCCCAACTTCTGGCATGAGCAAAATACTTCACTCCCACCTTATGGTTGTGCCACTTAATATGTGTTTGATTGAAGTTGCTGTGATTGTTGTTAATTTCTATCCAGTTGGCTTCGACTTATGATGATTCTATGAATGAAAGACTTCCAAGTCAAATGTTCTTTGTATTTGGCTGTTCCATTTTATTCAGTTTTGAAATAATAAGAGTATAATATTATTGACTGGGCTGTGGCGCAGCTAGTTAGTAGCCAGCTGTGTTAAATCACTACTGACCGAGAGGCCATGTGTTCGAAGCCAGCCCTGGTCAGAGTGAGCTCCCGACAATTAATTATCTAGCTTGTTGTTGACCTATGCACTCCGAAAGACAGTTGCATCTGTCAAGTAGGAAATTTAGGTACCCCTTTTTTGTGGGGAGGCCAATTTAACCAATGTACGACACCATAAAACCTTCCAGCAGTGTGTGTAAGAATGAGGAAGTACTCCATCAAGGTGTCACAAGTGGACAGAAAAGCAGCAGCTCCCCCTGTGGCTGGAATTGAGCATACCCTCATGAAGCCGGAAAGCTGGAATGTTAAATTGCCTCTATGTCTGTCTATATATGTTGTATGTCTAATGGCATTGAATGTTTGCCATGTATATGTGCATTGTAATCTGCTCTGAGTCCCTTGTGGGGAGAGAAGGGTGGAATATAAATACTGTATGTATATACACGAAGAGTCGGAAACGACTGAACCAATGAACAACAACAGCAATATATATATGTGTGTGTGTGATGCCATTGTGCACAGTTATCTGAAAGGCAGGTTGATTTTTTAAAATTCCAAATTAAATAAAATCCAGGAATATGAGAAGGAAAAGAAAACTTTGAGGAGGAATGGGAAGGGATTAGAGTAACTCATGACCCGAAGCTGCAGAGCTGAAGACAGGGTGAAGATTGTATATGAACTTGAAATGATTCCCAGTGTAAATGTGAAATTTCTTTTCTCGGTTTTGATCCATTGACAGATTACTAAGAAATATGGAAGCATGTGCACAGTATGGATAGCACACTATCCCATCATAATCTTGTCTGGGTATCAAACAGTGAAAGAAGGCCTAATCAACCACTCAGAAGAGTTACTTGACCGACCATTAACCCACTTCGCGGTCGAGGCCTTCAATAGAAAAGGTAAGTTGTTTGGACTAGGGCTTCTTAAACCTTTTCCACTCACGACCACTTTCCATCTGAGAAAACTTTACATGGCCCCAACTATATAGGTATATTAAATAGATATAGAAGGAAACCAAATGTTTACTGACAATTAATTAGAATGTACAAGGCCTGCAAAACAGAGTGATTTTTCCTTTTTATGGAATACAGTTGAAGCCTTTTCTACAGAGTCTACTGTCAACACTGCATTGTCCTTATATCCCAGGATCTGATCCCAGGTTATCTGCTTTGAACTGGATTATATGAGTCTCCACTGCCATATAATCTGGGATAAGAAGATATTCTGGTATCAGATCCTGGGATATAAGGACAGGATAGAAGGGGCCATTATTGCTAACAGATTTGTGCAAATAGGTAGTGTTCAGAAACCTTTCACAGTTGCCATTTTTGGGATCTCAGTTGAGTTAAGGGGACTCCATTTGGGGCCAAGACCCACAAGTGAAGAAGCAGTGGGTTAGAAGACAAACATGTTTGTGTTTTCCTGGGAAGCAAAAAGCATAAAGAACAACTGAATATGACAGTTGTGCAGGCAAGTGTACCAGGAGCTCCAATTTTGTTTGCTTTGCATTGAATGTTTGTTGCAGTCCCAAGTTTCAGGGACTCTGCAGATACGTGGCTTCCTTTGGCTGCAATCATAGGGCAAGCCACCTGTCAATTATAGTTAGGTTCCCTGGTCCCGCCCCCTTTTGGGGTTTTTGGAGGGTATAGGAGCCAGTTTGGGTTCAGTCCACACAGAGCAGCTTTCCATGCAGGACATAATACCTCCTGTAGAAGGCTTCGTCTTCTATGGCTTGGCCGGGGAGATATACAGCCTATAGCTTGACCGGGGTTATACAGCCCTACAGCTCCTTTGCTGAAGGACTTCAGTCAGCCATCACGGAAACTTGAATTCTTTTCCCCCTGGAAGTCTACAAAGCTCTACTTGGTAAGGGTCACTCGCGGAAGCCAGAAGCAGTTGGTACCGGGTGCAGGGGCTCCACGCCAACAGAGGTAAAGACAGACTGCCCAGATTAGAAGTTAAGGATTTCCTCATTAGTTACAGTTATGAAGATAGCGCCTGTTCCCTGCGGACAAGATTGAGAAAGAGCCAATAGACTGTTAAGAAAGCTTTAAAGTACCTGTTTGTTTTCATGAATAAAGAACATTGTTGAACCTTTAAGCAATCTAAAGACTCTGTTTTAAGGAAATCCAAAGGTTTTTATTCTCAGGCAGCCCCGGTGTCCTGTTGGGCACAGAGAATTTATGTCCTGTCTACAGTCTGATGCACAGGCCCAGCGTGCGACAGCACAACAGTCGTCTGGATTTTTCCAACAGACAAGCTCTTGAAGTCACAATTTTATTGTCTTTTCCAGATTACAGAACATTTTTTTGCCATCTGTAATGAGGGTTCTTGAATACACTTAGAATAGTGGTTCTCAACCTATGCCCCAAATTGTTTTGTCCTACAAATCCCAGAAATCCAGGCCAGTTTACCAGCTGTTAGGATTTCTGGGAGTTGAAGGCCAAAACATTTGAGAACCACTGACTTAGAAGATAAGAACGGTTGTTGTTGTGTGCTTTCAGTCCACTTCTAACATATGGTGTCCCCCAAACCTGTCATGGGCTTTCTTTTGCTCATAGACGTTTGCTATTGTGTTGTCAAAGCTTTCATGTCTGGAATCATTGGGTTGCTGTGAGTTTTCCAAGTTGTATAATCATGTTCCCGAAGCATTCTCTTCTGACATTTCATCCATATCTAAGGCAGGCCTCCTCAGAGGTGGTGAGGTCTATTGGCAACTAGGCAAGTGAGGTTTATATATGTGTGGAATGTCCAAGTTTGTCATTGTTTTCCTTTGCGGCTGAAGGAACCAGACTTGCTCCAGGTCTCTTGGGGCACATCTACACTGACCACGAAGGATACCTGAATCAGCTCCATGGTGGCCAAACTACACACAAACTAATTCATGGTAACACGGGGCAAGATTTCCTTAATGCAGTCTTGACCTGTATTAACCAAAGTGGTAGGTTGTTCTGAACTCTTCCCCAGATTTAGAGTAACTTCAAACTCTGGGTCCATGTAAATAACTGGGCTGATTCCAAAATAGAACCAGGCTCTACATGCCAATGGATACTCCAATGGATAAACTGGCCAATGGATACTCCACCTCAGACATCAGAAGAGCTGCAAGACCAAGAACAAGCCAAGAGAGTAAAGATGAAGATCCACCAGAGGAAAAGTGTTCTTGCCATACATCAAGGGAACCACTGACGGCATAGGGAAGCTGATGGGGAAACAAAACATACAAACAATCTAAAGACCCACCAAGAAAATCCAACAAATGCTACATTCAGCAAAGGACAAGAGGGATCCTCTCACCTCTGCACGAGTCTACCGTATCCCATGCAGCTGTGGACAAGTCTACATAGGGACCACCAAACGCAGCAGCATTGCCCAAACACAGATCAAGGAACATGAAAGGCACTGCAGACTACTTCAACCAGAGAAGTCAGCCATAGCAGAGCACCTGATGAACCAACCTGGACACAGCATATTATTTGAGAACACAGAAATGCTGGACCACTCACAACCACCATGTCAGACTACACAGAGAAGCCATTGAAATCCACAAGCATGTGGACAATTTCAACAGAAAGGAGGAAACCATGAAAATGAACAAAATCTGGCTACCAGTATTAAAAAAACTCTAAAATTACAACAGCAAAACAGCAGAGAGGAAACAACCAGGCACATCTTAACACCTCTCAACAAAAGATTTTCCCAGGCTCAGCCAGGCCTTCAAATGCTAATGAAGGTGGTCAGTTGAAACATTCACACCTAGCTCCAGCAGAGAAGAGCTCTGTGCCCTTTGCCCCACCCCAGTCATTCCACAGATATATAAACCCATTTTCCTAATTCCAACAGACCTCACTACCTCTGAGGATGCTTGCCATAGATGCAGGCGAAACGTCAGGAGAAAATGCCTCTAGAACATGGCCATATAGCCTGAAAAAACTCACAAGAACCTAGAACCAGGCTCAATTGTTTACAGAGTCATCCCATATTTCCTGGGCCCAAGAGACCCAGGAACATAGGATGGTATTTATTATTCCTTCCCATATGTCATGGCTGTCTCCGGGTACAACACAGGTCTTGCCAATTGCTCTTTTTATTCAGAACCAAGATCCAAATTTGTGGGATCCATTCTATCTAACCAGTCATACTAATATGTTAGATTTTTTTCTATCTCCATGTGATACCAATTCTATGATAATTCGCAAAGTTTCTCTTTTTGCCCTGGCATCAAAGAAAATTTGGGCTAAGCTTATTGCCGATATCGCAGTTGACTGTTTTGGGGATGCTTTTGGCTAAATAATGCTATTCTTGATGTTACATTGTATTTTAATGGTAAACAAGATCTGTATACTAGGGCTGTCCAAACATGGAAAAATTTGTTTCTAAACTCGATTCGTTTTTAGGGGTTTTTTGCGTTTCGTTATTTAAAAGAATTCCGAAATTTTCCTTAAAAAAAGTTCGATATTTACGAAATTTCGGAAATCATAAACCAATTACGAAACAATTACGAATCGATTACGAATCGATTCGTTAATGGCGGCCGCGATTGCGCAATACGCTAAAAAAACTTCTGAAGCTTCCCTCTCCCTCTGTTGTTGACTGTTGGTGTGATAATTATATTTTTTTCACTGAGAAAACAAACAGCAACCCTAAAACTTGCACCAGACATGCGGAAATAATAACGAAACATTTACGAATCAATAACGAATCAATAACGAAACAATGACGAAACAATGACGAAACAATTACGAAACGAATGTTTTGTTTTTTATTTTTTTTTTTTTTCTTTTTTTTTTTTTTTTTTTTTTTTTTTTTTTTTTTTTTTTGTTTTTTTTTTTTTTTTTTTTTTTTTTTTTTTTTTTTTTTTTTTTTTTTTTTTCCTTTTTTTTTTTTTTTTTTTTTTTTTTTTTTTTTTTTTTTTTTTTTTTTTTTTTTTTTTTTTTTTTCTTTCGTTTTTTAGTTGCCCCTGAATGGTACAATATCGCTTCGTTATAAAAAAAATAACGAATTTTTAACGAATTATGAAATTACGAAACGAAACCGCCCAGCCCTACTGTATACCAATCGTTTTATGTAGTACTTTTATCACTGTCCTTTTATACTGTTTTATATTGTTGACTTTTTAGATATCGTGTTTATTTGTGTGTATGTGTATGACCTTTGCCCTAGGCATTAATAAATGGTAACAGTAACAGTAAAGCTTTGACCATCAACCATTTGAGATCCGGATCAATAATTTTACTCAAATTAGTAATAGCCATATTTATTTATTTATTTATTTCGGGTACTTTTACCCCGCCTTTCTCAACCCCCGAGGGAGGACTCAGGGCGGCTTACAAAAAAGGCACAATTTATTGTCGAAGGCTTTCGTGGCCGGAATCCATGGGTTGTTGTAGGTTTTTCCGGGCTATATGACCATGTTCAGGAGAAAAATTGCCTCCAGAACATGGCCATATAGCCCGGAAAAACCTACAACAACCCAAGGCACAATTTGATGCCTATACAAATTACACATAAAATACAAAACCATAGTTAAAAGCAATTATCACAGTTAAAACAATCAAACAACCAGTACATAACACATCTCATGCTCAGCGTTTCGTCTTTCAGAGTTCCATAGTTCTAATTCATTAATCATTTCCTAATCATCGTCAAAGTTCTTTCTTTATCTGCCCGTTTGTCCGAATGCCTGGTCCCAAATCCATGTTTTCAGTTTTTCCCTAAACGAAAGGAGTGATGTTGCAGATCTAATTTCCCCGGGGAGTGAATTCCACAGGCGGGGAGCCACCACCGAGAAGGTCCTGATCCTCGTCCCCGCTAACCTCACTTGTGATAAATTATAGGTTATTGATCATTAGATTTCTTGTTTGCTTCAAAAATGTGTAAGCCGTTTCCAGTCTTTCCAAAAATCTTCAGTCAAAACCACCGTTAATTTGGCAATTTGGTCAAACTCAGCAACTTTATGTAATCTTCCTTCATCGATGCTTCTGAGTGCTCCCAAGTTTGAGTGAGCAATATTCTTGCTGTTGTTGTTCTGTATCAAATAAACATTTGGCATTTTTTTTTGCATTGAAAATCTAACTATTTTGCAAAAGTTCTGACAAGTATTACTTTTTCATTGATTTTTAATATACATATATTAGGTATTGGCTTTACAAATGGTCACATCTGGAAAGAACAGAGGCGATTTGGTATAGTTACTATGCGGAATCTGGGTCTAGGGAAGCAAGGCATGGAGTACCAAATTGAGGAGGAGGCCCGTCGACTTGTAGAGGCCTTTTCACAGAAAAAAGGTATGTTAAGTATTCCTGTTCACACAACACTTCTCCTAAGTTATTAAGGTATGATCCCCATATGGCTTGCATTGAAAAATTATGCATTTTCAATTATACTTTTTTCTAGTGACAATTGTATCTCTTACTCCACCTGAAACTTAAATCTTGGCATTCACAAGTAAAATAGAATAATATTAAGATGTCTGCATCCTACTTTATTTTCAGGGGAGCCATTTGTACCTTCACTATTGATCAGCAATGCCATCTCCAGCTTGATAAGCGTTGTGAGTTTTGGATACAGATTTTCTTACGAAGATGTCATGTTCCGGAAATTGATGGACGGCGTCGATACCATGGCACAATTTTCAGTCTCCTTCTTTCATGTTGTGAGTCTTCCCTTCTCCCTCTTTTCTGCTAGAAAGGACAATGTTCCACCCCAGAATCAGCATTCGTAGAAAGGTAATGGTAATTAGAGCTTTGGAATTAAGGAATTAAGGAAAGTTTCAAGGCTTTTCCAAGTAATGATGTTCTGAAATGTGTTCCTAGTCTTACCATTTGGATATCCGTTCAGAAAAAATAGACACATATATTTAATCTGTGAACTAAGAACATAAATACAGATGGTAAAGCACTGTAGTTATGACATTTTCATAAACATAGCTGCATTGAAGTGTATTATATGTGTCAACATCAGTGGTTCCCAATGTTTTTTTGACCATGGACCACTTGAATAGGGACCACTTTGAACAGGGACCACTCTCCAACATTAGTACCAAAAGGGTTATGAATCAGTTTTTGGTCAACTTTGGATTTGGTTTGGTTATTTGGGGTGCTGATTCAGAAAATGACATTGGATAGATCACATCAGTTCTAGTTTCTGATACTTTGACCAGGGACCACTCTCCAACATTAGTACCAAAAGGGTTACGAATCAGTTTTTGGTCAACTTTAGATTTTGTTTGGTTCTTTGGGGTGCTGATTCAGAAAATGGCATTGGATTGATCACATCAGCTCTAGTTTCTGATACTTTGAGCAGGGACCACTTTGACTATGGACCACTTTCCGGCATTAGTACCAAAAGGATTACGAATCTGTTTTTGGTCAATTTTAGATTCGTTTTGGTTATTTGGGGTGCTGATTCAGAAAATGACATTGGATAGATCACATCAGCTCTAGTTTCTGATACTTTGACTAGGGACCACTTTGAGCACTCTCCAACATTAGTACCAAAAGGGTTACAAATCAGTTTTTGGTCAACTTTAGATTCGGTTTGGTTATTTGGGGTGCTGATTCAGAAAATGGCATTGGATAGATGACAACAGCTCTAGTTTCTGATACAGAACATACGTCATCCAGTAGTCACCATCCACTCGCCCACAGAAAACCATATTTAATCAGCACTATAAGAGGGTTTCGTGAGACTAGTTGCTCTAGTTGCTGCGTGGTTTCGTAATGGTTTGGCTGTGGACCATATTTTCATTCTTACGGACCACTGATGGTGCATGGAACACAGGTTGGGAACCACTGGTCTACATTGACCATATAATATTGTTTCAATCTGCATTATATGGCCGTGTAGACCAGCTCTGTGTTACCATAATACTGACAAGAGATTGTTTTCTTCTCTTGTAGTTGTATGACTTCTTTCCATGGCTTATGAAGTATCTCCCAGGGCCTCATAAGGATGCCTTGACGTTTATGCAAGAAGCACTATCATTTGCAAAGGAGGAGATAAAGAAACACAAGGAATGCCAGGACCCGCATGAGCCACAGGACTTCATTGATTTCTATCTAATTCAAATGGAGAAAGTAAGTATTCATCATCATCACTGTCGTTCACCTTTTTCATTCATACAGGCTTTTGAAGAAGAAGGTTTCTAAGATCAATTCAAGAGGTGCTGTGGTTTTAAACTGAACATGTTTTAATGGTTTTTAACTGTAAATTGCTTCAATAATGTTTATATTTAATTCTGTTTTAATGTTTGCATATTTGTATATTTTTAATTGCATGCGAATACTTTTATGTTAAGGAGCTTTGAGTCTCCTTCGAGAGCGATAAAGAGGTGTACAAAGAAATATAATAATAACTAGCTGTATGCACCATGTGTCGCTGTGGCCAGCCTTCCTTCCCTCTTTCTCTTCTCTTCTCTTCTCTTCTCTTTCTTTCTTTCTTTCTTTCTTTCTTTCTTTCTTTCTTTCTTTCTTTCTTTCTTTCTCTCTTCCTTCCTTTCCTTCCTTCCTTCCTCTTCCTTTCCTTCCTCCTTTCTTTCTCTCTTTCTCCCTTTCTTCTTCTCTACCTATTATAGAATCATAGAATCATAGAATCATAGAATCATAGAATCAATAGAATCAAAGAGTTGGAAGAGACCTCATGGGCCATCCAGTCCAACCCCCTGCCAAGAAGCAGGAATATTACATTCAAATCACCTGGACTGCAACACCCAACAGTCCTCCTGATCTTGGACTATACTTGGACTGCTGATCAATCTACCTACCTACCTACCTACCTACCTACCTACCTATCTATCTCTATCTAATCTATCTAATTTGGAAGATTGCTGGGAGTTGCAGTCCAGGATAGGAAATTGGAAATATGCAGGGATTGGGATGCTCTCAAAGAAATCCAAGGAGAAGAAAGCTTGCAGCTTGGAAGCAGTGCATTTGGATCATCCTCCTAAAGGACCTGGTCTAGGGGATGCTGGGAGCTGTAATCTGGAAGAGAGTGTGGATATGCTATTGTGTGTTATGTTTGCCAGGAGGAGTCATTTTTGCACATGCGCTGTAGTCTCTTTTTGCTTTTTTGATTTTTTAAGTCTATTCTGCTATGTTTTCCAGTGTTTTTATGATGGTCACTTGTTGGCCTGATAGGTGTATTGTGTTCATATTTGGTGTCAATTATCACAGTGGTTTTTGAGTTATGTTAATCCCACAAACGAACATTACATTTTTATTTATATAGATTTATGAGCATTTATATACCACCCTTCTCACCTCTAAGGGGACTCAGAGCAGCTTTCAAGATATATATATATACATACAGTATATTATATTATGGCATAGTACAATGTCAGGGATTATATATTACTATATTGTACTATACCATTATATTGTAATATTATTAGTAATATTATATGTAGTATAAAATATATAATTATAATGTATTATTATTCTTAGTATTATATTGTATTACATTATAATATTATAAATATTATATGTATACACAATATATTATATTAATATTATATGCATATACAATATATTATATTATATTAATAGCATAGCATAGGAGACAAGGTGGAGCTATCTTCATGGCCCCCCTTTCTTAAATAATCTCTCTTGGGATTATTCTGCACAAAATTAGTTTAAAAATACAGTTTTCTCCCCACTGCTCTCGATGGCACAGTGGCTGAGCTGCTGAACTTGCTGACCGAAAGGTCGTAGGTTCGAATCCGGGGAGCAGGGTGAGCTCCCACTGTTAGCCCCAGCTTCTGCCAACATAGCAATTCGAAAACATGCAAATGTGAGTAGATCAATAGGTACCTGCTTGCGGGAAGGTAACGGCTCCATGCAGTCATGCTGGCCACATGACCTTGGAGGTGTCTATGGACAATGCGCTCTTCGGCTTAGAAATGGAGATGAGCACCAACCCACAGAGTCAGACATGACAGGACTTAATGTAAAGGGAAAACCTTTAACTTTACCCTACTCCCCAGAAAATTTTATAGTTGGGGACTTGTTCTACTGAGAATTTATATATGGCATTTTATTTACTATTTTCTGTGCAGGAAATGCTGGCTTTTGCACAGCAGAACCATATGCAAATTTTGTGCCGAATAAGTCCTGAAATCATCTGGGTTCCTCAATCTAGAAAAACACATTTTTGGCAATGCTGTGAATTTTAAAAAATTATTTCCATCCTGAATTCTTTCCTCTATCCTAAGTTTATGATGCTGCTCGAAGCAAGTCATTTTACCCTCTTTATTAAACCACAATGCAGGTGGATTGAGTCACTTAAGGAAGATATACCCCTGCATTTTCAGGACCTGAGCAGTGTTGTTGTTAACAGGGACCTGTAGAGGCTCCTCATTCATAAAGTCATTGTGCTGGTACGGCTGTACCAGGAGCTCCAACTTCCTTTTCTTTCTTTGAGTGTTTGCATGTATTCCAAAGTTCCATGCATTTTGCAATAAGGTGGCTTCCCATGGTTTGCAGTCATGGGGTTAGCCACCTGCCTATCATCGTTGGGTTTCTTAGTTCCGCCTCTTTCCCCAGGGTTCAGGAAGGAAAGGAAGCCATTTTAGCTCAGTCTTATAGTTGAAAGCTTAGCTACAGGATGTGAATCAGCTCCACCTGTAGAGAAGATTCCAGGGGAAAACAGTCCCAAAGCTCTGGCTGGGGAATTTATAGCCTCACAGCTTTAAGGAAAAGCCTTTAAAAGAAACAGTTTCACAGCGCAACACTTGTTGGGGTTAAAGAAACAAACCCACAACATTCGTGGAGAAAATCCAAATGACTCCAGCTGGAGAATCTACAAAGCCTTGGCTGGTAGGTCTACTCGGGACCCAAGAAGCAATTTGGAGCCGGGAGTAGGGCCCACACCAGCAAAGTTTAGAAAGTAGATTGCCCAAGGAGGGCTTAAAAAGGGTTTTCCTTGTTAAAGAAAAGAAACAGTTCACGAAGCCAGTTGCCTGTCCCTTGTGGACAAGATGAAGAAAGCCACCAGTTGATTCAAAGCCTTGAAGTATTTGTTTGACTTGTTAAAGATCTGAGAAGTATTTGATTGTTTTGTTGAAGACCTAAGCAATAATAAAGGACTTTGTTAAACTTTTCAAGTTTCTAAAGACTTTGTATAGGAAAATCCTTAGGGCCTCTCAGCTGAGGCACCCGGCTTCCCACTGGGCACAAAGAGCCCGTCCTGTTCAAAAGCCAATTGCCATAGGCCCAGTGTGTGACAGCACAGTCATCATAAACCAAAACTGACTTGGCGGAAACTAAGCACAACAATAACATACGTCTTTCCACACCTCCCAAATATAATTCATTTTGACGTGTGTCCTAAACTTTGGTTCATTTCCAATAATGTTACGTCTTTTCTGTTATCACTAACAGAGCAAGGGTGACCCCAAGTCTACTTTTAGTGAAGATAACCTGGCCCAGTCTATTCTTGACCTCTTTGCTGCAGGAACAGAGACCACTTCCAGTACTCTGCAGTGGGCACTTCTCTTCATGGTGGCTTATCCAAATATCCAAGGTAATGGACCTTACTTTTCTCATTTCCCATGACTGCATTATGCCTTGAAATTTTAGAGGACCCCCTTTAAAACATGTGAAAGCCACAAATTTCTCTGGTTGAGTTAGTCTGGAGTGCCTTTCATGTTCCTTGATTCGTGTTTGTGCGCTGCGTTTGGTGGTCCCTATGTACATGGTAAGCAGTAGACTTCTGCAGAAGTGAGAGGATCCCTCTTCTCCTTTGCTGAACGTAGCATTTGTTGGATTTTCTTGGTGGGTCTGCAGATAGTTTGTAAGTTGTGTTTCCTCATTAGCTTCCCTATGCGGTCAGTGGTTCCCTTGATGTATGGCAAGAACACTTTTCCTCTGGGTGAATTTTCGTCTTGACTGTCGCGGCTTGTTCTCGGTCTTGCAGCTCTTCTGATATCTGTGGTGGAGTCTCCATTGGCCTGTAAAGCTGATGTTCTAGTCATCCACAAACCAGATCAACAATTGGGTCACACAGTTTACAGAAAACCTACACACACAGATAGATACCCACATAAAAACTTCAACCATCACCCAAGTCAAAAAAGAAGTACCATTAAAGCCTTGGCAGACCGTGCAAAAAGAATCTGCGCAGCCCACCTCCTCCAAGATGAACTGAACCACCTCAACTGGGCTCTCCAGGCCAATGGAGACTCCACCTCAGACATCAGAAGAGCTGCAAGACTGAGAACAAGCCACAAGAGTCAAGATAAAGATGCGCTGCTTGATTCTTTTTCAGATTGCCTTAATCAAATTATTTGGTCATTTCTTTGCTGAGTTCAAGAACTGTTCCCAGAATAAAGCTTCCTTTCTCACTGTTTCCCTCAGAAAGAGTCTACAAAGAGATGGAATATGTTTTTGGCTCCTCTCACTCAATCTGCTACCAAGATCGCAAGAAACTGCCTTACACCAATGCTGTGATTCATGAGGTCCAGCGGGCAAAGTATATCTTACCAGTTGGGGTCCCCAGACGGTGTTCGAAGGAGTTGAAGATGCTTGGCTTTCACATTCCAAAGGTACAGATGATTGATATGGCTGTAATCTTATAACCAAAGAGCAGAGAGTTTCAATGTGTGCTGGTATGGCTGTACCGGGAGCTCCAACTTTATTTGCTTTGTATTAAATGTTTGTTTGCAGTCCTAGGTTTCTGGGACTCTGCAGAAAGGTGGCTTCCTTTGGCTGCAGTCATAGGGGAAGTCACCTGTCCATCATCGTTAAGTTTTGGTTCCGCCCCTTGCTCAGGGCAATTGGGAAGGAAGGGAGCCATTTTTAGTTAGTCTCAGCAAGGAAAGCTAATGTACAGGATGTGTGCAAGCTTCCTCTGTACAAAGGCTTCAACCCTTAAGACCTTCCAGGGGAGAACAGTCTTAAGAGCACCCAAAGATTTCCAGGGAAGCAGTCCTAAAGCTTTGAGGAATTTCGGAGGGTGAACAGTTTGAAAGACCAAAGAACTCCAGCTGGAGAATATCTAAGCCTTTACTGGTAGGTCCACTCGGTGCTTTGAGACGCAGTTCGACCCGGTAGCGGAGCCCACATCAGTAAGGGTTAGATTACAGTCAGCCTGGGAGAAGTTAAAAAGGGGATTTTCCTTTAAAGTAAAGAAGAAGTTATTGAAGACAGTTGCCTGTCCTTCGTGGGCAAGTTTAGGAAGCCACCGGTTGCATAAAAGCCTGGAATCATTTGTTTATCTTTACTGAAGACAAGAGAAGTTTCTGTTTGATTGTTCATTAATAAAAGACTTTGTTATACTTCACAAGCTATCTAAAGATAATTTGTGATGGGAAATCTCTGAGAACTTCTCTTTGGGCCCCTGGCTTCCCGCTAGGCAAAGGTTGCACGTTCTGTTCTAAAGGAAATTCTTTACAGGCCCAGCGCACAACAGAACACAATGGATGACACTTTAATAGATATATCTATGCAAGAACCTTTTGGACTGCATCAAAATGAGTATAGTGACTAGATCAAGGGTAGTCCTGGTGCCTCCCTCTTCTGCTTTCGTCAGACCTCAACTGGGATAAGACTGTGTCCAATTATGGAGACCAAAATTTAAGAGAGGTATTGACATTAAGCTGGAAGGGTGTCTAGAAGAGGGTGACTAAAATGACCAGAGGTTTGGAAACCATGAATCCTTCTGAGGAACATCTTAAAGAGCTGGGTCTGTTTAGCCTGCAGAAGAGAAGGTTGAGAGGAGGCATGACAGCCATGTATAAACATGTGAAAGGGCGTCATCAGAAAGAGGGAGCAGGCTTGTATTCTTCTGCCCTCAGGACTAGGACTCAGTGTAGTTATGGGTCCAAATTACAGGGAAGGAGATTCTTTCTGAACATTAGGAAGAACTTCCTGACTGTACAAGCCGTTAAGCAGTGGAACTCTCTGCCTCATAGTGTGGTGGAGGATTCTTCTTTGGAGACTTCTAAGCAGAGGCTGGATGTCTGGATACTGCTTTGATTGTGCTTTTCCTGCATGGCAGTGGGTTGGACTATTTATATTTACAGTATTATATTCCGCCCTTCTCACCCCACAGGGGACTCAGGGTAGATTACAATGCACATGTACATGGTAAACATTCAATGCCATAGACATACAACATATATAGATAGACATAGAGGCGATTTAACACTCCAGCTTTCCAGCTTCATGAAGGTATGCTAAATTCTGGCCACAGGGGGAGCTGTGACTTCACTGTCCACTTGTGACACCAAGTTCTTGATGGAGTACTTCCTCATTCTTATGTACGCTGCCGGAAGGTTTTATGTTGTCGTAAATTAGTTAAATTGGCCTCCCTGCATAAAGTGGTACCTAAATTTCCTACTTGACAGATGTAACTATCTTTCGGCCTGCATAAGTCAACAGCAAGCTGGACTATTAATGGTCAGAGCTCACTCCAACCCAGGCTGGCTTTGAATTCATGACCTCCCCGTCAGTAGTGATTTAATGCAGCTGGCTACTAACTAGCTGTGCCACAGCCCGAACTAGATGATCCATGTGGTCTCTTCCAACTCTGTGATTCTATGATTCTGTGTAAACTATCAAGAATAGATCATTGTTGGAAGAAATAACATTTCCAACCTTGCCGATTCCTGGAAGGATACATTGCCATGCCTGAAATACAATCAATATTACATTTCAATATTACAATACCCAATAGTCACAGTAATGGACTGAAAGTTTTAACTCTAAGTCTGTTTTTGCATCTTCGTCCTTGATATTCTTCAGGAATTCTTCCAAGTCTTTGATATTTTCAGCTACAGCTTATACAGAAAGGGTGATAAAATGCAGTTTTATCTGACTCTCTTCCAAACTGGAAATCACTCTCTTTCTCTGCAGTCTATCCTGACAGTAGCCTCTTGTCCTGGATAAGGACATACAAATGTTGTGGCACAACCATTCATTAAGCGTGATCAATAGTATTTCATGATCTATACCAGCATTTCTCAACCTGGGGGTCGGGACCCTGGGTGTGTGTGTGTGTGTGTGTGTGGGAGGGGTGTCAGAGGGGTTGCCAAAGACCATCAGAAAACACTATTTTCTGTTGTTCATGGGGATTCTGTGTGGGAAGTCTGGCCCAATTCTATCATTGGTGGGGTTCAGGCTGCACTTTGATTGTAGGTGAACTATAAATCTCAGAAACTACAATGTCAAGGTCTATTTTCTCCAAACTCCACCAGTGTTCACATTTGGACATATTGAGCATTCGTGCCAAGTTTGTTCAAGATCTATCATTATTTGATTCCACAGTGCTCTCTGGATGTAGGTGAACTACAACTCCAATACTCAAGGTCAATGCCCACCAAACCCTTCCAGCATTTTCAGCTGGTCATGGGAGTTTGATTCAATTCCATCGTTGGTGGAGTTCAGAATGCTCTTTGTAGGTTAACTATATTTCCAGAAACTACAACTCTCAAATGACAAAATCATTATCCTCCCCCCCAACTCCACCAGTATTCAAATTTGTGTGTATCTGGTATTTGTGCCAAATTTGGTCCAGTGAATGCAAATACATCCTGCATATCAGATATTTTCCTTACGATTCATAACAGTAGCAAAATTACAGTTATGAAATAGTAATGAAAATAATTTGATGGTTGGGGGTAACCACAACATGAGGAACTGTATTAAGGGGTCACGGCATTAGGAGGGTCGAGAACCTCTGATCTATACAATCAAAGGCTTTGCTATAATCTCAAAAGCACAGGCTAGTTTTCTTTTGAAATTCATTTATTTGGATTTTTTTTCAATTGAAAATTTTCAATATTCAATAGTAGTGTTTAATACTTTGACGGAACCTTTATAGCTTAAATGAAAAGCAAAATTATTGATATTAGGATGCCAAGGCACTTCAGTGTGTATGTGTATGTGAGAAAGAGAAAGGGAAGAGAGAGAGAGAGAGAGAGAATACTATAGGAGTAAGAAAGCATGCTGGTGCAGATGTGATTCTGAGTCCACTTTTTTTTTCCTTCCAGAAAACCCTTGTTGTTACAGATCTAAATTCTGTCCTTTCTGACCCCAAGCACTGGGAGACTCCTGGCGAATTCAACCCAAACAATTTTTTGGACAAGGAGGGGAATTTTATTACGAAAGAAGAATTTCTGCCATTTGGAGCAGGTAAATGTGCCGTTAATGTACTATCGGTTTTTGTGGCTTTCTTCCAAGAGCAGTTGCTTGTGCCTTCAAATCAGTTATCCCTTATGGTGACCCTAAGAAGGACCTATCACAGGGTTTTCTTGAGAAGATTTATACAGAAGAGGTTTATCTTTGCTTCTTTCTGAGACTAAAAGAGGGTGACAAGCCCAAGGTCACCCACTGGCTGTCCATGGACAAGTAGGGATTCGAACTCTATTATGAAATGAACTGGATCTGTTAAATCTATGCTCTGACCTGGATTAATTCAATTTGTAGATGCAGCCGTTGAGTGGCGTCAATCTGCATTAATTCTATAGTGTAGATTAGGCTTGTGCATGGATTCGGAGGTACCAGTTACTTTCGGCTAATCCATTACTGCTTTTTCAGTTAGCAGTAATGGCAAGGGCTCGACCTCCATGTGTTTTTCAGCCACAACAGACCAGTGGCTGTTGAAAACCAGCATCCTCCAGTTACAAGTGGAGTGCGGGAGGGAGGCAGCTGCTAGAAGAAAAAGCATGAGGGGAAGGGGTGGGGAGAAAAGGCACAATTCCAGGACCTGAAAATCAAGAGAAAAAAGGTATGTTTAAAGAAAGCCCAGTGTAGGATAGTGTTGCACACCAGGGCTGGGAATGTACCTCTGAACCCAAAACCACACCAAAGTTCTTTATAAGCAAGCAGTTTATTGAAGAATAAAAATAGCTTCAGCAAAAGAATAGAAGAACTTCAAAAGTAGACTAGAATATTGTCCATAAAAACAGTAAATTAAACATGGTAAATAATAAACCAAGCATCAAACTCAGGAAGCAGGAATGTCCCAAAATCCAAGGCAAGATCCACAAGAAACAAGAGTCTGTGAGCCGCAAATAGTCCATGAATGCAAAGTCAAAGTCACACGAAGATTCAGGAACAAACTTGAGCAATTAAATCCAAAGACATGAACATAGATCCAAGGCAGGAATACTTACAGGATTATCAGCATGAAAATAAAATGATGAACACAAGAAGCAAGACAAGGAATGCTCTTCAGAATTAAACGTTGGTTTCACTGAAAATCACAGTTTCAGAGGCCCCATATGTTGGGGTTCAGCCTGATCCTGATCTGTGTGAACAGGATTCTCTGATAGTTTTTCCAACTGAGCAAGCTCTCCCTGACTCTGACAGTGTGGAATCTGTTGTTGATGCAGAGGTCAGTGGGAATGAAAATGAAACCCAACAGCTAGAAGAGAATGTTTTGGAAGTTAGCCGTGATATCTCTCCACCTGGGGTTGATAATGAGGACCGAAGAGAACAGATAGTCAGAGATAGAAATGTTTCCCAGTCTTTACGAAGGTCACAGCGCTTACAGCAGAAAGAGGCCCAGACAGAAAAGTCAAGGGGCATTTCTAAGAATAGCTTCTTTGGTTTAAGAGGGTTCCTGCCGGGTGCTTCTTTAGGTCAAGCAACGTTCAGGACTGTGGTTGGCCTTGGCAGAATTCCTGTGTTCCATGGCCAGTAATCCCAGAGGCTTCTAGTTTCCAAGTTCATGGTTAGTAAAAGGCTAACAGACTCCTGGTTATTGTTTTGTGGCTTTTATGGGATGCAACACCATATATATTCAAAAAGCCATAGCAAAGGCATTCCATTTCCCTTGGGAAACCTCTCCCTGACCCCCCTTTTCTCTCTTAATCTTTGAGATCACCTTCTACCTCCTTCCAGGCTGAACCACTACAGATAGGTTACTCTTCCTTCCCTGACCTGCGAAGTGGAGATTCAAGCCTCCTTAAAATGCCTTGGAAATGGATGTGCTGTGCAGGGAGGGAGAGAGCACCACAAGCACCTCTCTCCTCTAGAGTAGAAACAGCTCTAACTAAGCATTAAACCCAGTCTCCTCTACAGACAGAAGGGAAAGAGTCACAGAAAGAACTCTGATGCTTTTAATCCATATCTTAATGAAGGATATAAGGACAAACAATGTCTAAAGTGATGGGAAGAGGAGCCCAGGAAGTCTCCCCCCACCCCAATAATGGGCTGGATAGAAAACAAATATTTTGGCTTCCTTGAACGAAAACAGATTTATGTCCTCCTGAATCTGGGAAACTCCCAAAAAACAGATCGGGACCCCCTCCAAAATTCGGAACACTGATCACTGCTTATGGGCTTTGGACTTCTGAAAGTTGTTCATAGTTATGAGCAGGTCAAAATCCATGACCCGAAGGAAAAAGTTTGAAAATGGGACAGTCGGGAAAGTCTTTCTTGGAGAAACAGTCCTGTTTTGTTCCCTCTAGGCATGAAAACCAAAGGAACAAAAACAGGTAGCAGAGAATGGGTGATGAGGGTTATATCTCATTTGATGCTTTCTCTTGTATTATCTCTTGCAGGTGCTCGAGCATGTCTGGGGGAACAGATGGCGAGGATGGAGCTCTTCCTTTTCTTCACCCACCTGCTGAGAGCATTCAAATTTCAGCTGCCTGAAGGAGAAAAAGAAATCAGCCAAGAACCTGTCATTGGCCTGTCAATGCATCCCCAACCTTATAAACTCTGTGCTATTCCTCGCAGTATTTTATGATAAAACACATTTTTAAATGGTTTATGGTATCTTATTTATTAACGTACATTTTTTTCTGTCATTCCTTTTCCAGTTCTCTGCCATAACTTCATTGTTGACCTAAGAATTTCTCCAATCTGTTGGAGCTTCAGATTCAACTGCTGTGTAATGAAGTCATTGACATGTAGGACTGAGTTTAGCTGATCTCCTTCTCTCAAGTTATCACACTCATTTGTATTTGGTGAATTGAGAGGATGGATCGTAACTGTTTATAGATCTGCTGGAACACTTCTATGTGGAATAGTGGTTCCCAACTTTTTTTTTTGACCAGGGACCACTTTGACCAGGGACGATTTTGACCTAGGACTACTTGACAAGGGACTACTTTGACCAGGGACCACTCTCCAACATTAGTGCCAAAAGGGTTACCAATCAGTTTTTGGTCAACTTTAGATTCGGTTTGGTTATTTGAGGTGCTGATTAAGAAAATGACATTGGATAGATCACATCAGCTCTAGTTTCTGATACTTTGACCAGGGACCACTTTGACCAGAGACCACTCTCCAAGATTAGTACCAAAAGGGTTACAAATCAGTTTTTGGTCAACTTTAGATTGGGTTTGATTATTAGGGGTGCCGATTCAGAAAATGGCATTGGATAGATCACATCAGTTCTAGTTTCTGATACAGAACATATGCCATCCAATAGTCATCATCCGCTCGCCCACAGAAAACCATATTTAATCAGCACTATAAGAGGGTTTTGTGAGACCAGTCGCTCTAGTTGCTGAGTGGTTTTGTAATGGTTAGGCCGTAGATTTGATTTGGGGTGCTGATTCAGAAAATTGCATTGGATAGACCATATCAGCTCTAGTTTCTGATACAGAACATATGCCATGCGAGAGGAGGGCCTTCCCAGAGGATCTTAGACGTGTTGATTTCCCATTGAACAGCTGTTTCAATAGGTTTACTCTAGTTAGGGCTAAGCTAAATGTTCTCATCCCAGTCTTCCTGTCGTGTACCTTCAAGTAATTCCTGACTTACAATGATTCTATCATTGGGTTTTCTATGCAAATTTGTTCTTGGCAAAGAGGGGAACAGATGGCAAGGATGGAGCGCTTCCTTTTCTCCACCCACCTGCTGAGAACATTCAGATTCCAGCTCCTTTTCACTCTTTCTCTAAGGCTGACATAATGTGATTAGCCAAAAAGTCTTCAAGTGACTTTCCATGTCTGAACTGGGATTCAAACTATTATACCATGTTGGCTCTTCTCAAAATTTAATCACATCCAATTACCCCAAAAAACCACCTTCTGGTTTAACATGTTTTGTGAAGAGTTTCCATATTTGTTTAAACTCCAAAAATCTGATAAGAGCAAAGAAATGTGCAAAGTGTTCTTGTGCTTGGAAACTGGTTGTACAGCCTCTTATAGAAGGGTTAGCCTCCCGTTGAAGGAGAAGGAGCTTCAGTTGAAGGTGCTTCTCAATCCACCAGCATTGTCACTCATAGGTTTGCTGGTTCTCAGTTTGTAGGACTACCTTGCTTAATCATTTATTTGTTGTTGTACATATGACTGACTACCTGTGGAGATGACCCAAAAGTAGCAATAGAGCAACCCAAAATGATAACATGATGTTTGTATTACTTACTTACTGACTTAGGTGATCCCTCATTGTCCGAGTAGGATAATCCTCCAGGGTGGGTCCATAGGTGACTATTAGTCTGAGGATGATGGTCCTCCAAGGTTGGTGTCCTGGCGGTGGGTCCATAGGTGACTGTGGAGCCCGATTCTTGATCTGCATCGTCTCCCGCAGTGAGGAGAGCATCGGTTTCCAGGTGGAAGGCGGTCCCGGTCGAGGTTGGTTTGACGTGCCTTCCTCTTGGCACGTTTCTCTTTTTCGCCCTCCATTCAAGTCTCTTCAAATTCTGCAGTACTGCTGGTCACTGTTGACCTCCAGCTGGACCGCTCGCAGTTCTCAGTGTCTATGCCAGAGTTTGAGTCCATCTTTGAATCTCTTTTCCTGCCCACCAACATTCCGTTTTCCATTCTTGAGTTCAGAGTAGAGCAACTGCTTTGGGAGATGGTGGTTGGGCATCTGGACAATGTGGCTGGTCCAATGCTTCTTCCAGCAATGCTTCTTCTTTGCTTCTTCCAGCAAGCTGACATTTGTCCGCTTATCTTCCCAAGAGATTTGCAGGATTTTCCGGAGGCAGCGCTGATGGAATCGTTCCAGGAGTTGCATGGGACATCTGTAGACAGTTCACGTTTTGCAGGCATATAGCATGTGTTCTGTTGCCACTGGGTCCGAACAAAATGTCTTTATTCTATAGAACGCACACTTTAAACCCAGTGGGAAGCCGGGGTGCCCGAAGAGAGATTGTTAGAGACTTCCAGAAGTAATGGGCTTTAGAGTTCTTTAAAGGTACAAAAAAGTCTTTATTAAGGAACAAATCTTCAAACAACACTTCAAGGCTTTCTTATACTAGTCTTTAAGAGACTGGCACTGACTTGGTTTAACTATACTATCTCAACATGAGGAAGAACCCTTTATAACCTCTCCCAGGCCGTCCATCGCCTAGGCCTTGCTAGTCTGGGTATAACTGCCGATCCCCAATGCGTCTGGAAACCGAGTAACCTACCAGACGAAGCTAGAAGATACTTAGCTGGAATTCTGTGGTTCTGTAGTGCTGTCCTGTGGGAACTTCAGGGCTGTTTTCCCCTCTGGTGCTGTGAGGCTGAGAGGCTGTGAGCTCTCAGCCAGAGCCTTTGGGACCTTTTCCTTCTGTTTCCCTGGAACTAGATGGTCACTGGATGACCCCTGGATGGTCACTGAATGGACCACGGATCACCTCTGGATGATCCCCGGATGGCTTTGAGGAATGAAGCCTTTCCTACAGGACAAGCTGATTCGCATCCTGTAGACTGGCTTCCTTGTGCGCGACTGACCAAAATGGTTCCTCTATTTTCCCAAAGCCCAGACTAAGGGGCGGAACCAAAGCTAAATGAAGATGGACAGTGGGCTTGCCCTATGTCTGCAGACTATAACAGGAAGCCACCCTGCTGCAACATCCCAAGCCTGGGATTCCAAACAAACATTTAAACAAGGCAAATAAAGTTGGAGCCCCTGGTAGCGCTGTACCAGAATAGCATGGTTGGTTGTATTAACATTTTAAGGCATGAATAGGCAACTGTGTTATGTCCATGAAACCATTCTGTGCTTCAGTGATCCTCTTGCAGCTCTATAGACTGTTAAAGATACTCCACTACTCCACTCTAGAAAATTGCAACACATTATTAATTCAACAATTATCAGGATGTCATCACATGAGGCTCCTAAAATGGGTTTTGCCATCACAAAACAATCTTGTTTGAGATGGAATATGTCTGTTTAGCCCCTTATTGCGCTCTAGGCTTGGAACACCTTTTCAACCAGCACCTCACGTAGTCCAGTAGTTATTAGCTACAGCAGCTTATTTACAGAGCATGTACAAAAGGGAAAAAGTTTATTTCCCAAAAAGCAGGAGAAAAGGTGCTATGGAATAGCAGTAGTCCATATACACAAAAGATGAATAGTCCATATACAAAAGATCAATAATCCAAGATAGCAAGGTACATGAAATCTAGAACATCAAGAACATAGGCATAAATCCATAAGCATGAAACAGGAGTTTTTCCAAGGCAAAATTCTTTCAGAAACCCAACAGATGTGAAGCATGAGCATGAGAGCTGAGACAGGAACTGGAATCTATAGCAATGTTGTCTGCTCTGGTGACACTTAATTTAAGCTCAGGCCCAAGCAAGAAGCCATGAGGTCACGCCCTTGAGGCTTGGGTCTCAAGGATTTCTCACAGTCTTTCTGAATGCCTAATTAATCTATGCTTGACTCCCTCTGTGCAGAAGCCTAATATGATATCATGGGAAAACTCCCTATCTGCAGCTGCAGAAGGCCCTGAATGCCGATTCCTAAGAGAAATTGACTTTTCCTGGTTGCTAAGGAATGGGCATTAGAATCCAAACATCCCCATCTCCTCTGCAACTGCTGGAACTTCTCTCTGATCTGGGACCTGCAAATCACCCTGATCACAGACAGACTCGTCCTCTGAGGAATCCCCAGCATTTTGCTGCTGAACCCCAACACCCCTCTTCTTAGCACACCAAGCCTAGTGAAAGCTTAAAGTGCATTTAGCTTACAGTGGCTGCAGAATTGTATCTCCTCCAAAACTGTGCATTCCTCTTCTTCATACATACATCCCTTTTCTCATTTTTATAAATGTGAAAGTTCAGAGGTCATCCTCAAACCAATTTAAGGCAGTAAATAATAAATACTGATTGAGTTTCCCTTATCCTGAAATCTAAAGTATTGCAAATCCTCACCACTTCTGCCTTTGGGGGAAGAGGGCTAGCCAGACATCCAATGCCTATTGATTTTTTTCCCCATTAAAGAGCTCTGATGGGGTGAAAGGAGCATGTTTAGCCTGAAGAAGAGAAGGCTGAGAGGAGATATGATAGCCATGTATAAATATGTGAGAGGAAGCCACAGGGAGGAGGGAGCAAGCTTGTTTTTTGCTTCCCTGGAGACTAGGATGCGGAACAATGGCTTCAAACTACAAGAGAGGAGATTCCATCTGAACATGAGGAAGAACTTCCTGACTGTGAGAGCCGTTCAGCAGTGGAACTCTCTGCCCCGGAGTGTGGTGGAGGCTCCTTCTTTGGAAGCTTTTAAACAGAGGCTGGATGGCCATCTGTCAGAGGTGATTTGAATGCAATATTCCTGCTTCTTGGCAGGGGGTTGGACTGGATGGCCCATGAGGTCTCTTCCAACTCTTTGATTCTATGATTCTATATATTTCCATGCTCATTTTCCATTGGGTCTATGGAGACACACAGCTTATATCCAACCAGAGAAAATAAAAAAGACTCATGAGAGGGGTGGGGGAGGATTTTCTACTCTCTTCTTGTCTACTTTGCTCAAAGTGCAGAAAATGTGCTGGTAGCTCTAAAGAAAAAGTTCTGTGGCACAGGACGTGTGACTAGCCTCCTTT